AATTATAGCACTGAAAAATTGTTTCGTTTTGGATGATATTGCTATAGTTTTGTTTTGGATGATATTGCTATAATTTTGTTGATATTTCAAAGTACAATGTTTGTAAATTGTAATAAAAGTAAATGAAAGTAGGATGCTATAATAAACAAATAAATATCAAGTTTTCATGTGCTAAAAGCTTAGAAATACCAAATCAATGGCTTCTCGGATAACTGCACTAAGAGCAATCGACTTGTCATCCATTTTTCAGCTTTGATCCTTCACCAATGAATCTGCATTATTGTGCAAAAAAGCTTTAGAAATCTATTCGTTTTCTTTTTATATATAAACTCTTGATAATTTATCTAACTTTTGTGGGATAATGATCAAAAAGATATATCCAACCCAAAAGAAGTTGAATCTCTTTATATCATTGTTAACAAATTCTTAAACCATTGTTTGATTTTGTGGTTATATTTTTAAATTTGTGTGTTTTTCTGGATAGATTAGAAATTCCGTACACTATTTGTCCATTTCACAAGATAATAATTAATAAAATTTACCTAGATGAAGACAGCTAAGATCTTTTGTCTTTAATAAAAACTTAAATCATGTTCTGCTTTTTTGTGTTAAAATTTTTGGATCTTGTGTTTTCTGGATAAATTCATGAAATTTTATCATATGATAATAATAGAAAACGTTAATAGCTTGATGAACATAAGCCTTGAATCATTGCCTACTTTACATGATAATTATCTACATAATATAGCAAAATGACTTGAATCTATTTATTATCATAGTTTCAACTCCTCATTTAACCTTTCTAATCACCCATTAAATAACCCACATTAGTTACATTTATACGTTTACGAGTCAAATTTGTGATATTTTGAACCTCAAAATCGAAGACATTCATTGTTTGAATTAAAAAAAATCAATAACCATATTAACCTACAAGATTAAATATCATTAACATAAATAAGAAGAACAATGTCATTAAGCCAATGAAATTACATCAACTCTTATTCGCTATTTGTGTTAGGATAAAAGAAATAATGTAACAAAAAACATAAATATGATTACAAAGAAAGACAGAAAGAGACCTGAGAAGCTTAGTAGATGAGGCTTTTTGACATGGAAATCGTTACAAAAACTTGAAATGTTTTGTAGTCTTGAAGTGGGAATGAATGAATGAATATGTGTTATGTTTGTTTTGAAGCAGGTGAACTATATATACACCCATATGTTTCTTGTTTCCATCCCAATAATTGAATTTAATAAAAAAAACATATATCTTATTCTGTATAATGTTTTAAATCTTGACAACAAAATCACTAATTATAATATATATAATATTAATAACCGGCTTTAACTTTCATAGTTTCATCAATTAATCGTATAATTTTTATTCTTTTAACCAAATTATGCGACATAAATGTTAGATAATGTATTTTTTTTACATTGCTTAAGATTGACCATATTATACATAAAGATTTGTTATCTAAAGTGATTACTATATGTATGCATCTAACCATTTTTAGTAACATTTTCAAAAGAAAAAAATTACTAAAACCTCAATAATTATATATTCCTAATTTATGCTAGTTAAGTAAATATAATATAACTAATATAACTTTATGTACTGATAATTTCTTTAGAAAATATATTTTATATGAAATATATTCATTTTTGTTTTTGTTTTTGTATTTTATATAGAGTGAATAGCGACAGATGGCCGTACATGTACTTTATTTTAAGAGGGAATCCAAGTTCCGGTCTTCCGGAAAGCCGGCTTAACTATTAAAAAAAACAGTAACGACCGGTTCGGGAAATGCCGGTTTTTGTATTTGGCGCCATATGACAACGCTTAGAATGTAACGATTCTTTCGGAGATTACAATGCTTTTCTTTTTTTGGCCCCACATTATTATAATTGGTCAAATATGGCCCTCTAACTTCATTAGTTTTGTTATTTTTTTGTTATTAGTAATTTTTAGTATACGTTTCTTGACATTATTCGTTTGGTCATTAGTTATATGAAAATGCTTTCGGTTTTATTTTTGGGAATATTATGTTTTAAGAAAATAGAATTTAGTTTAGTCACATGTGATTGTTTGATATGATTTGAAAGAACTATAGAAGGATTATTCTTTTAGTGGTATGTTTTTTTATGATTGTAACTAAGCTCAACAATTAATGGATATTTCGGCTAGAAAATATTAAACATCTTGATATGAAAATGATGGGTTTTTACAGCAAAATACAATTTGAAAGAGTGTAGTGTTAGAATGTTTTTTTTGGTGGTAATCAACTATTTAGAAGAAATCAACAGGATGAAAAAAAAAAAACTAAATTGTTTAAATAAGTAATAAACCTTTTAGAAACCTGTCATTGAAAATGATCTAATACTTGTGCTTAAAATTTTAAAGCTAAGCTGTAGTTTTTAAACATCAACAAAAAGTTTATAATGATTTTAAAAATAATAATTAAAACGACATAGTACTACTCGCATACAACATTTGTTCATTTCCTAAATATTCTTTGCATATATACTTACTATTAATACTTAACAAAAATTAATATTGAGATTTTAGATTTCTATAAAAATTCCAATCACTTGTTCTAATCTTCTTCATGTCAGACAACATAAAAAAGTATTTATTAGGTAATACAAAACAAAGATAAATAGAAGTAGGGGTGTCAAAAAAACCTGAACCCGATTAACCCGATTCAATCCTAACCCGAATAAGGTAATTAGGGTCGGGTTTAATAGGGTTAAAATTCCAAATCAGGTTATTCGGTTAACCCGGCAAACCCGATTTATAGTTAGGGTCGGATTTAGGGTTGATTTTTACAAAAAAAATTCGAGTTTCGGGTCATCCTGAATAACCCGATTAGGAATTCACAGCCTCTACATATTCTTACCGTTCTCCACTCGAGTTGTACAAAAAAGGCTATGAACCCTTTGAAAGTGTAAACCTTTCTGACTCTAGAAGTATACTTGATTTATATTTGTAAATGACTCACCTTGTTAATGTTTATTCACTAGGAAACATAGATTGTTAGGAGAAACGTGGTTTTTTTTTTTTAATTTTTTCCGATCTGTTTTAACCTGGATATGGAATAGTTTTCTTATAATTTTTTTTGTCAAGGTGTACTATATCATGTTTATTTTTTTATTTACCAATGTTCTTATCTAGTAATTACAATATATTATTATATGTGTTTTGAATTTTGAATGGTCAAGTAACTTGAAGTCGAAGTCCAAAAAGATATAGAACCTCTGCATCTGAAAAGTACTAGAGGGCTGAAAAAGGAAAGACTTCTACTTATTTTCAATTTAAACTAACTATAAACACAAATACATTACATGACGTTGGTCATTAACTAGACAATTGAAAATTCAACCATTTAATACTGATAATGGAAGAACTTTTTTGGTTACTGTGGTATGCATGCTTTCTTGTAATAACCATAACATTATATTTTTATTTTATTTCAATTTCTATGGATTCTTGGTGTTAATAAAAGAGTAAAAAATAAATAGTTGACCTATATAAAATTGTACTGATATAGAGGTATGTAGAGATTGAGTACAATCCTACTTTCATAATACAATCTTTAATAAATCAAGTCAAAGGAAATAATCTTTTAAATATGTCCAAATTAAGTTCTTAATGTATTAACCGACTAACCCGGGCAACCCGACCCTATCTACCCGATACCCATTTAACACGAACCCGATTAACTCATACCTTAATAGCCCTAAATAGAAGATTAAGTGATACAACTTATCTAATTTTGTTTTTTCGAATACAAATCAAACTTGAAATTCATACTTTTGAAAATTCCAATTAGTACACAAGGAAAAAAAACAGTTTAGAAATTAAGGATCTTTTCAATAGTTTCAAACTTTCATGTTCAGTTGAAATGTTGAATCATTCAAATGTACATGCATTTTGATGTCTTTTGTTTTTGGAATATATTAAAGTTTTTAAACATATTGGAATCTTAATTGTCAATCTCTATTAGTAACATATATTTTACAATAAAAAAAATTAAAACAAAAAAAGGAGAGAGAAAGCAGTTAAAGGACCATTGAGTCAACGACCAAAAAGAGAGAGGGTTATTGCAAAATGTTTATAATGATTTTTCAGATAATTTAAAAGGATATAATTTTTTTTCTTGTAGAGTATTTGTTAATTTTGTAAATATTCATTATCTTGTTATTTATACTTAAACAAAATAAATGTTTAGATTTTAGATTTCTATAATATATCTCAATGACTTTAATTAAATTTAAATGGATATTACAATATACTCATAGAATATTTGTTCTTTTATCTACTTTTGAACTTAGTATAGTTTATGTCTCATACGCATATCATCACACTTGTGGCCTTTACATAAATGCATCCCATTAAGAGACATTGAAAAGTTCAAAATTGACCAATAATTATTAAAAGAAATACAAAAAAAAAAAAAAAAAAAAAAAAAAAAACATGATCAATTTTTAGAGATATGATGATTAGATATAAAAAAAGTAAATTACTGAAATCGTCCCTATGGTTTGATCAAAATTGCATTTTTGGTCCATAACTTTTTTTTTGCACTCCGATCGTCCCTGTGGTTTGATTTTGTTGCGTTTTTTGTCCTTGTGGTTTAATTTTGTTGCATTTTTCGTCCCTTACATACATAAAGTTAGGGATCAAACATGCAATTTTTACCAAACCATAGGGACGAAAAACACAACAAAATCAAACCATTGGGACGATCCGAGTGCCAAAAAAAAATTAGGGACCAAACATGCAATTTTGACCAAACCACAAGGACAATTTCAGTAATTTACTCTAAAAAAAATTACAAAAACATGCATAAATTCACAAAATAAACTTCATAACTTTCAACAAATTCATTATTGATGTAACATTTAGGATCACATTATAAATATATTCACAAATCACCTATCTCCACCTTTACACAAGTCAAGTCACTAATCTAATACATAGTCCAACTGACATTGTAAGAGTTTCATTTCCAATATGGATTGGTCCTCATACCTGATTTAGATTTAAATCACATGATACTAAACACATTCGGAAAATCTAAGGTTTATGGTTTAAGGTTTTAGTAGAGTCAACTTATATCCATTTTTTCAATTACTTCAAAATGCATTTGCATATTCGCGTGCTTATTCGCAAAATAAAACCTTTCGCAAACCATCAACTTTTCTTCACTTTTTTTACACACATCATTTAGCAGACG